GCTAACGGTGCTGGAGGAGCTCGGCTGGAATAAAGGGTGCGGGAGCCGGCGGGGGCTGCGCTGAAGCGAGGGAGCGGCGGGAAGCCGGGCAGGAGGAGCAGGAGGAGCAGCAGGAGCAGGAGGAAGAGGAGGATCGGAGGATCGGAGGAGCGGAGGATGCCGGCGCTGAGCGCGTTGCCGTTCCTGAAGCCAGCCCAGCTGCGCTCGCCCCGCAGCCCGCCCGGGGGCCAGCGCCGGCACACGCTGCCCGCCAGCGAGTTCCGCTGCCTCGGGCCCGGCGACGCCGCCAGCGTGTTCGAGATCGAGCGCGAAGGTACCGGAGATCCCGTCTGCTGCATCCCCCGCGATCTGCTCCCAGCCTCTTGTGCTCCTTGTAGCCGTGGATTCCCCTGTGGGGGCCCTCGTGGGCCTGGCTTGGGGCCACCACGGGCTCCCTGATGGGGTGGAGGGATTGGGGTTAATGAGCTGGAGAAGCACGGCCCCAGCCCACCCTTGTAGGAGCCCAAAACAACCCTGTGAAAGACAGGATAGCAAAAGGGGAAGTGGGAGGAAGGACACCACGCTCTGCCTCCTCCTGCACAGGGGCACTTTGAGGTGCCACTCTGGCAACATTTCCCCATTTCCTCCACCATAGCTTCCCTCACCCAACCCATTTCTCCCTCCTCTCCAAGGGCAAGGACAGCCAGGGAGATGCTGAGAGATGCTCAATTCATCACCTGCTGCTGTAGCTCTGGAGCCAGCAGAATCAGGAGCTGGTCACTGGGCCATGGGGAAACTCACCTAGCCCATTTCTCCCTTCTCTCCAAGGGCAAGGACAGCCAGGGAGATGCTGAGAGGGAGGGCTCAATTCAGCACCTGCAGAGTCAGGAGCTGGTCACTGGGCCATGGGAAACTGCCTCTGGGAAGCAGAACTGCTCCCTGGGACCCTTTGTGTCCCTCAGACCTCCTTTAGACCCAGCAGGCAGCAGGACACATGCCATCTCTCCCCACCACATCCCACTTTCCCTCCCCCGCGTCAGTGCTGGGAGTGTTTCTGGGTCGGGTGTGCTTTGTGTCTGTCACTGTGGTCACCACTGCCCCCTCCAGCCTTTATTTCGGTTTCTGGGGACTGTCCCCTGCACCTGGATGAGATCCGACACTTCCTGAACCTGTGCCCGGAGCTGTCCCTCGGCTGGTTTGAGGAAGGGCGGCTCGTGGCCTTCATCATCGGCTCCCTCTGGGACCAGGAGAGGCTCAGCCAGGTATGACCCAGTCCTTCCCCCTCGGGCACCACCAGGGAGGGCACCAGCTGGTGTGAGGGGAGCAATCCAGGGCACCTTGGGGCACCTCAGCCTCAGGGGAGAAGGGGCAAATGCAGCCTCAGGTGATTCAGTGAAGGGTGGGATAAAGGCAGGGGTGACTCTGCCCTCAGGCAGGATCAGGAGGCTCCATGGATCCAAGGGTTTGGCTTCTCCTTCTGCCTGAGACCCTCCAAGCCCCGTCTCCTCCCAGGGAAGGGTTTGAGTGAGCCAGCAGGGCTCCAGCCCTGCCAGAGCCTCGGGACCAGGAGAAGCTCTCTGGGGTCCTGAGGCTACTCCCAAAATCTTCTCCCAGACTAACTGCTAAAGGGCTGCTCTGGTAGAAATGAACATTCTCATTAATTAATTTCAACCACGCTGTTAAAAAATATGCTAAGTAATTCCCCTCAACATTCATTTTAAAATTAAAAACTCTCTGAGGATGATGGGGGGAGGCGAACAGGCACGGGGAGGATGAGGACTCTGGTTATTTGGGTATTGGAATAAATACCAATATAGCTGGACAGGACATGCCTGGGCTTGTCTGGGCCTTGCTGCTTGACCAAAGTCGGCAACTGTGGTGGTTTCACCTCAGAGACACTTTAGGCTATCTGATGCTGCAGCTGGGTGCTTGAGGCAAGTCCAGGTATGCAAGAGCTCAGGTTTACCTCTGGTGGAGAAGCTTTAAGGCGATGGTGAAGGAAAGGAGTCAGTTCTGATGGAGGGTTTGGATCCAGAGCTTTATTCTGGCCCACAGGCCTCTGAATGCAGCACCAGCTCCAACAGAACTCCAACAGAACGATGAGGGGAGGTGAACAGGCACGGGGAGGATGCTGACCCTGGTTCTTTGGGGTGGGGAATAAGAAGCAGGATGGGACCCTGTGCCCCTGCTGAGCCCTGTTTCCCCCGGCAGGCAGCCCTGACCCTGCACAAGCCACAGGGCTCGGCCGTGCACATCCACGTGCTGGCCGTGCACCGCACCGTGCGCCAGCAGGGCAAGGGCTCCATCCTGATGTGGCGCTACCTGCAGCACCTGCGCTGCCTGCCCTGCGCCCGCCGCGCCCTACTCATGTGCCAGCCCTTCCTCGTGCCCTTCTACCAGAAGTGCGGCTTCCAGGCGCTGGGGCCCTGCCAGGTGACCGTGGGGGACCTGGCCTTCGTGGAGATGCAGCACGCCGTGTGCGGCCATGCCTTCATGCGCAGGAACAGCGGCTGCTGAGGGGAGCTGCCGCCCCTCTCCATGCCCACATCCATCATCCCCAGCTGGCCCTGGATACACCTGCTCCCTCTGCCACATCTGCCTTGCAGCCACGCCAGCCTGGCCCCATCCCATCCCTGCAGGGCTGGGCACAGGAGCTCCTGCCGGGTCCTGCTGGAAGCATCAGCTCCCTGGGCTCTGCTTGAGCCAGGGATGGGCACAGGAATTCCTGCTGGATCCTGCTGGAAGCATCAGCTCCCTGAGCTGGGCACAGGAATTCCTGCTGGATCCTGCTCGATCCATCAGCTCCCTGGGCTCTGCTTGAGCTGCCCTGGCCATGAGCCCCCTGGGATGGGAAGGCTTTGCCCTGGGAATGGCTGGGGGCTCTGCTGGTCTGAGGACACTTCCACCCACCATGGTTTGCTGAGACACCCAGAAGAGCCCCTGCAAACACGTGCCCCAGCCTGGCACCCCTCCCACCATCACCAGCACCAGGAGTGGAGCACACCATGGCCAAGCCCTCCCTGAGCAGCCCCCAGGCCAGGCAGGGGCCGTGGCAGCCACCCCCTGCCCACACATATCCTTCCCAGCCCACAGCCACCCTGAGCTGCACATTGCAGAGCCTCCCCAGGGAACCAGCCCAAACCATTTGGTCCTCCCTGTCCCAGACCCACAGGACAAGCCTTTTGCAAACAATGCAGGTTGTTGGAAAGCAGCAAATAAAGATGTGGTGGTGATTTTCTATACAGCCCATGTGTGTTCCTGCCCTGCTTTGATCATGATCTCACAACAATGGCCTGAGGGAGGGCACCAGCTGGTGTGAGGGGAGCAATCCAGGGCACCTTGGGGCACCTCAGCCTCAGGGGAGAAGGGGCAAATGCAGCCTCAGGTGATCCAGTGAAGGGTGGGATAAAGGCAGGGGTGACTCTGCCCTCAGGCAGGATCAGGAGGCTCCATGGATCCAAGGGTTTGGCTTCTCCTTCTGCCTGAGACCTCCAAACCCTGTCTCCTCCCAGGGAAGGGTTTGAGTGACTCCTCAGGGCACCAGCCCAGCTTGTCCTCCCTCCCTGCCACACCGGCCATCATCAGAACAACCAGAACCCCCCAAAAGTGCTGCTTCCCCACGCCCAAGAAGGGAGGAGAGACCTTGTGCATCTCATTAAATACAGGTAGAAATTTATTAAGGATGCGGGGAACCCACAGCTTTTTAAAAAAGTATTAAAAAGAGACAAATGAGGTGAAGTGTCTGTCTTTGGCTGGAGCAGCAACTGGAGGGACAGAGTGGGGCTGGAAACTGGCCCAGGGTGGAGGGAGGGATGCAGGGATGGATGCAGATGCTCCTGGGCTCACTCAGTGGTTGTGGAGTGGGAACCAGGCTCTCAGCCCTTGAATATTCATCCCAGGACATCCTAACTGGGGCATCCCCCACTTAAAAGCACTGAGGCCTCCAGCACCAAAGCAACACATCTCAGGGGAGAGACAGCCTGGCACCAGCCTGGGTCCAAACCAGCCCAGAGGGGTCACCTGGACCCCAGGAAGGACCTGCCTTCGTGCCACGGCCGGTGGTGAGGAGGAGGAGGAGATGCTGGGGAGAGCAGCCGGGGCTGGGCAGCCTTGGGCAGGGAGAGGGGAGGTGACAGCCCCATCCTGCACTTCCACACCTGAGCAGCACCTCTGGAGCAAGGAAGGAAGGGCTGCCTGGGTCTCCGTGCTTTGGAAAAGGGAAAGAGGAACCAGCAGGGACTCAAGACAGAAGGTGGGAGCACTGACAGCTTCCTGAGAGGGCTGTGGGCTCAACAAGCAGCCACAGGAGCCCCCCAGGGGGATTTTCTCCATGTCTGCCTCCCACCATGGCACTATAAATACAGTCCCTGCCACTCCTCCCCTTCCAAAAGGAGAATTTCACTGAAATAAGGGAAGGAAAAGCCCCCTGCCCCAAGTCCTGCCTCTCCATCCAGTAAGGAGCCAGGCGGGAAGGCACAACCCTCCTTGGGGACCTCAGGGGGAACAGGACTGAAAAATATCTTTAAAGCTCAGCCCTGAACATCTTGGAGCCACGACAGAGACTCCAGAGAGCCCAAAAGGGGGAAACCCTGGGCCTAAAGAGCTGCGGATAAAAAAAGTGCCCCTGCAAAAAGGGGGTTGTGTTCACAGTATGAGCTGCAGCACTGCAGGGCACCGAGGTGGGACGGGGCCCCAGGCAGGCAGGGACACAGGCTGGAGACTTCAGCAACTTCACCCCAGGACTGGCAGTGCAGCCTGGCCACGGATACACCAAAATCCAGCCTCCCTCAGCCCTTTCCCCACACAGGCAGCAGCCAGAGTCCGTCCCCAGGCCAGTTGCGGCTTTCCAGCATCAGGAGGGAGCCCCAAAGGGGATCAAGGCAGGGCTGGCTCAGCCCTACATCCCCAGCACTGAGCAAGGGCTACCCCAAACCCTCCCTCCCTGAGGATGGAGCCATGCCCAGAGTCTGCCCCATCCTGGAGCAGCTGGGCAGCACCCGCCCCATGGGAACATGGCAGGGTCAGTGCAGGACCTGCTCCAGCTCGTACTTCTCGCAGAACTTGCTGGTGAAGGGCAGGCAGGTGAGGTACTCCACCCAGCGCCAGTTGACGGGGTACACGTAGAGCCACACCACCAGCGAGGCAAAGAGCCCCAGGAAGACCAGCAGGGACACGATGATCATGGCGCGCTTGCGCAGCTTGTCCACCGTGCCGAAGGTGATGTAGGGCAGGAAGGCGAAGGACAGCAGCAGCCCGCTCAGGAAACCAAACAGGTGGGCAATGTTGTCGATCCAGGGCAAGAGGCCACAGATGAAGAGGAAGAGGACGATGCCGAAGAGGTTGAGGAAGGCTTTCCAGGGTTTCTCCAGCACTTGCCAGCTTTGGAAGAGCTCCACGAAGAGGCAGGCCAGCAAGCCGAACTGGGAGCCGGCAGGGCCCACCTGCAGGGAAACGAGGGCTGGGCTCTGTGTCACCCCAGACACACCCCGTGTCCCCTCTCTGTGTCACCCCAGACACACCCCGTGTCCCCCAGGGATCACCTCCACCCCTAGCAAAGAACATTTGGACCCAGTGTGCCTGTGCAGGGTCCTGCATGGGGCTCAGGGGTGGGAGCCTGTCACAGACATCTTTTATGAAAAATCCTTTCCTTAGGATTTTTCGCTCCTGAGAAGCTGAGAGACCTCAGGAACAAAATGTAAACAATGATTATCTGCTGCTGTGAAATGCAACAGGTGCATCTGTGATTGGTCTCATGGGGTTGTTTCTAATTTATGGCCAATCACAGTCAGCTGGCTCGGGCTCTCTGTCCAAGTCACAAGCTTTTGTTATCATTCTTTGTTTTGCTATTCTTACCTAGCCTTCTGATTAAATCCTTTCTTCTATTGTTTTAGTATAGTTTTAATATAATATATATCATAAAATAATAAATCAAGCCTTCTGAAACATGGAGCCAGATCCTCGTCTCTTCCCTCATCCTCAGACCCCTGCGAACACTGTCACAGGAGCCCTGGCACAGGAGGATGAGGAGGGGAGCAGGGTGGTGCTGTTTTGGCAGAGCTGACACTTTCTGTGACTCAGCATCACCCCCTGGCAGACCCCAGCCCCATCCTGGCACACCTGTGTGGGGATTAGGGCCCTTGGCATGATCTCATTTAAAGGCTGACAGGGTCTGGCTGGCAGCAGATTAGCCATCTGCCTGCCCAGGGACCCCGCACGCTCACGGACACGTGGTGACATGTGACACACGTGGCATGTGCCAACACCACACGTGGGGCAGGGACACCCCCTCCTCCTCTCCCTGCAGCAAACCCTGCCAGGGGGTGACAATCTGTGCTCCAGCCCCTTCCCCAAACCTCTGCCCAGGATGGGCATGGAGAGGGGCGTCCTTTGGTCCCTGGGAGCGCACAAGATTTGGGACAGACCCCCAAACCCTCACCTCTGCCCTGTAGGGTAGGAAGATGGCACTGGCCAGGTTGCCCGTGATGCCACTGAGGATGAAGATGATGGAGATGCGGTGCCAGCCCGCCAGCTTCTCCAGGTCCCGCAGCACTGTCATCTGGAATGTCACCGACACCAGGCAGTGGATGATGCTGGGGGAGAGGCCCTGGGTTAGAGACCCTGCCCAGCCTCCCACCCAGTGCCCCAGGGCATGACACAGCTCACACAACACCCCTGTTGCAGACATCTTTAATGGAAAATCCTTTCCTTAGGAATTTTCCTCCTGAGAAGCTGAGAGGCCTCAGGAACAAAATGTAAACAATGATTATCTGCTGCTGTGGAATGCAACAGGTGCATCTGTGATTGGTCCATGTTGGATGTTTATAATTAATGGCCAATCACAGCCCAGCTGACTCGGAGAGAGAGTCTGAGACAGCTGCCTTTGTTATCATTTTTTCCTTCCTATTCTATTCTTAGCTTAGCTAGGCTTCTGATGAAACCTTTTCTTCTATTCTTTTAGTATAGTTTTAATGTAATATATATCATAATACAATAAATCAAGCCTTCTGAGACATAGAGTCAGATCTCTGTCTCTTGCCTCATTAGAAAACCCCTGTGAACACGGTCACACACCCCCACTGAAGGCACTGTCACAGTCTGGGAGTGCCCTTCCCTCCTCTCTCCCAGCCCATCCCAATGGGCACTCCAGTGCCCAGTTCCCCCATCCCTGGGGATGTGGGGCTGTGGCTCACCCGGCGTGCAGGAACAGGGACAGCCACAGGCGGTAGAACTGGTCAGGGACCTCCGGGTTCAGGAAGGGCAGGAGCCCACAGACCTCGTCCAGGCAGTGCACCTGCAAAGGCAGCGGGGTGGTCCCCAGAGCCACAGGGAGCAGGGGATGGGTCACAGGGATGGGATGCCAATGATGCCATGTGGCAGCTGTGAGGGGATTCTGGATGGTGTGGGGCACCCACATTGCCCTGGCGCTGGTAAAGGTGCCTCCTGCCCCACACCAGCAAGGTGGGTGTCGCAGACAACTTTTACAGAAAATCCTTTCTTTAGGATTTTTCCTCCTGAGAGGCTGAGAGGCCTCAGGAACAAAATGTAAACATTGGTTATCTGCTGCTGTGAGATGCAACAGGAGCATCTGTGATTGGCTCATGTTAGTTTGTTTGTAATTAATGGCCAATCACAGTCAGCTGGCTTGGACTCTCTGTCCAAGATGAAGCCTTTGTTATCATTCTTTGCTATTCTATTCTCAGCTAGCCTTCTGATAAGATCCTTTTCTCCTATTCTTTTAGTACAGTTTTAATGTAATATATATCATAAAATAATAAATCAAGCCTTCTGAAACATGGAGTCAGATCCTCGTCTCTTCCCTGACCCAAGAACCCCTGTGATCACCGTCACAGGTGGGCACAGCAGCAGGAGCTTGGCCAACAGCTGGGCAAGGCCCTGAACTTTGCATCATTCCTGCTCACACCCATCCCAACCATGTCCCATTCCTGGTAGGACACTCTGAAGCCCTTTGACATCAGCAAGGCTGCCAGCATTGCACCCCACACACCCTGCCAGCATCCCCCATGTACCCCACACGCCCTGCTAGCATCCCCCATGCACCCCACACGCCCTGCCAGCATCCCCCATGTACCCCACACGCCCTGCTAGCATCCCCCCATGCACCCCACACGCCCTGCCAGCATCCCCCATGTACCCCACACGCCCTGCTAGCATCCCCCCATGTACCCCACACGCCCTGCATGCCTCCCTGGCCCTGCTCACCTGCGAGCAGAGTGTTGCCTCCTCGTGGAAGTAGCCGTGCATGAAGTCGCAGTACTCCCGCGTGGTGATCTCACAGCTGCCAGGGGCAGGAGGGGCTCATGGGGACAGGGCACACTCAGGACACCCCTGAGCATCCCCCTCTGCCCCCAGCCTGCTGCCACTGTGCTTCCCACCCCCCAAGGCTCTGTAATCCCCCCCCTCAGGCACAGCTCTGGACACTGATGGACAGCACGAGGCAGGAGTGCAGGGGGGGGCCAGGCCGGGTGCCCCCTTTGCCCACCTGCCCTTGGTGCCGATGCAACAGGGCCTGCCCTTGATCTCGCAGTCCAGGTGGGCCAAGCCCGTGTGGTTGGTTTTGGTCTCGTAGGTGCAGATCTAGGAGCAGGGGGGAAAGGAGCCCTGGTCAGAGCCCGGCCCCAGGCTGTCCCTGCAGAGCCCTGCTGGGCTCATTGGCACTGCCACCGTGGAGCCCGCAGCTGATGGTGGCACCGGGCTCTTACCGGCCACTTGGTGATGTCGTCTGGCCACACGTGGGGTGGGTTGGACGCAGGCTCCTCACACGTCCTGGCAGGAGGAGGGGGGTGAGTCGGGTGGGTGCCCCCAACACATCCCCCTGCAGACCCTCAGGCACAGCTCTGGGACCTGCCTGGATCCTGCCCGCCCATGGGTGCCCCACAACACCCCACAGCAGCTCCTTCTGCAGGTGAGCCCCACAGAACTCAGGGCTGTTGCACAACCATGCCCATGGATGTTCCCATCCCTGAACAACACAACAGCATCACCTGCTCCCTATGTTAAAGACAGGCCCTGCCTCAGTTTCCCCACTGATTCCCTCTTCTTTATCACTCTCCTAGTGTGCAAAAACCTCCCATCCCCTCAGAAAACAGGAATCAAGGTAGCCCAGCTGAAAGGCAGCCCCTTCTGCCGTGTCCCACACACAGCCAGGTGACAGGGTCACCTCCACCCAGCTGCTACGTCTACCTGGGGTCCTGGTGACACACAGCCCCCGAGGTCCTCTTCTCTCCCGAGCCCATGGCTGGTGCATTGCTGCCTGGCCACTTGATGAACGTTGCCAGTGTCTCCTGCAGGGAACGTGGAGACACTGAGGATGCAGCAGGGAATGCATGGCTCTGATAAGTGGTCTCCTCGAGCCAGGTCTCATAAGCTCTTGGAAATCTATATCACACCCAAGATAGCTCAGCTACCTTAGAAGGCATAAAATCAGCAGGATGGCTTCTGTAGCAGTGTTGGAAAAAGACAAATTTTAATAAAAGGCAAAATAACAAAACTCTTTACAGAGAAAAAATGAGCCCAGTGCAAGAGGTTCTTGCTCCTGGTAAAACACCTCACAAAAGCCATTAGTTTCTTTGTTCCCTCCTTTTTCTAGTAAATTGCTTAGGCAGGACTTTTTGCCTCCTGTCCAATTGGCTATCCTTAAGTTTGAGGTGAAGCCCCAAAGGTCTTATGAGGTGTCTTTTTACCTAATCGAGGACAGAAACTTCTGGGCTTTTTTCCTTTTTAAAAAGACAAAGGCCAGTTTGGTCTCTCCATCAACAGGGGGCACATTCCTACAGGGCTCTGACCGCACCTGCATCCTGCCCAGGGGCAGAGCAGGGCTGAGATGGTTTCCCCCGGGATCCCCAGCCCTTCCCGGGGCAGGGGCACGCACCGAGCAGTCCTGGGGCAGGGTCTGGATGCAGCCGGAGTTGTCGTTCTGCACGCAGCAGCCGGAGCTCCGCTCGCGGTCCCGCTCGCGCTGGATCAGCCGCTCCACCTGCCGGTCCTTGCGGATGCACGGCGAGAACTTGGCGCCCAGGTGGATCAGGTCGATCTGGCAGGGAGATGCCAGCAAAGGGGATTTGTCTGTGCACCTCCCTTCGCTCCAGCTATCCCCAGGGAGAGTTTGGCAGGAGCAGGGGGTCTCCAAGGGAATAGACAAAGATGTCTGTCATCCCAGTGGAGGGAAGGCAGGACTCTGTGATGCCACATGTCCCAGTGGGATGGGAGCATGGGACAGCAGGCTAGAGTGAGGAAGTCAAGCTGTGCCCCCCTGAGAAGAGGAGCACTGCAGAGAACCACCTCAGATCAGGGCAGGGGAAGCAGAGGGCAGAGCCTGGGACCAGGGGCCAAGGGTCTGGCAGGATCCTTACCGAGCTAGGCCCAATCCAGAAGTTTTCCTGCTGGATGTACTTGACACTCTCATAGACACCCTTGTTCCTCAGCACCTGCCAAGAGAGGCCAGGGTCAGCTCCCACTGAAGGGATGAGTGCTGAGGGGAGGGGGCACCCCTGTCTCCCTCCACTCAAAAGGGGCTGAGCAGCCCCTCCATCTGAAGGGAAGGGCTGTGGGTCCCACCAGCAAGGCAGGAGAGGGAACAGCTCTGCTCCCACCACATATTCTGCTGCAACATGGTGCTGCTCATCCCCTTGCCCCGGCCATATCACAGAGCCTCTCAAATGCTGGCTCCCAGTGTCCCATGGTGTCAAGCTCCCACAAGATATTCCCAGTCCTTGCAGGGAGCACGACACCATGGGACCCTGGTGGTTACAGCCCTCCTGAAGGACGGCTCTCAAACTTACTAACTCTGTCGTCACGTGCTGGGCGAAGCCGATGGGGGCGATGCCGTAGGTGCCGATGACCAGCAGGGTGATGAGAATGTGCACAAAGGTGATCCAGTATGTGAAATACGGCCTGGAGGGGACATGACCCAAAGCTGGAGCTGGTCAAAGATCTCCGGGCGAAGGGACACTGCAGTCCCCAAGCACTGAGGGGGACACACATCCGAGTGGGGCGTCCCTGCCGTCGGCGCCCCTCACCGGTGGCTGTCGGTGATCTCCAGCTGGGACTGCACGATGCTGCTCAGGCTGCGCCGGTACGTCCTGTTGAGCCACTTGCCCACCACGCCCAGCCCGTAGTAGCGTTTCTTGCGGTCGAAGGCGAAGTGCTTCACCTTGGAGGCGATGCGCCTGCCCCGCCGCGGAGCCGCGCCCGGCACCGAGGCCAGCCGGGCACCCTCCCGCCTGGCCAGAGAGGAGAAACCCATCACACCTCCCAAAGGAACAGCTGAGAAACACCCCACGGCCAGAGCTATGCCCTGAGCTGGGGCTCTGAGCACCTCCTGGCTCCCAGGATCGTCATGGAAGTGCCCGGTGCTCACGGCTGGGGACACTGTCCTGCCTGCAGCAGGCACCTGGGCAGCCTTGGGGGCAAGGCCTGCTGAGGGTTGGTACTCACGGGGTGGGCTGCTCCACCTCAGGGGACACCCTGGCTTCCTCTGCCACCTGGTGCATGCGTAGGTACGTGGCTGAGAGAGGAGGCGACTCAAAGACGTCATCGGGCATGGAGTACGTCTCATCGTGCATGTCCATCTGGAAAGGGGATGGATTGTGTCCTTGGATATGGGTGATGGATCAGAAACTGACTGAGCCCACACCCCCTGACTGAGCATCCCCCCGGCCAGGGGGAGTGGGTGATCTCCAATGACACCCCACTAATGACACATCACAGGGTGTGAAATGTGCCCAGATGGCAACAAGGGCCATCACCAGGGCTGGGGCACAGCAGCCACTGATGCCTCTGTCACTGCTGGGTGGAGTGCCAACACAGGGATCCTCGTGAGAGCCCTCCTCCACACCGAGCCCCCTGTGCAGGGCCCCAGCTCCAGCAGCCAGCATGGAAAGGTGCTTGCCTTACTGAAGAAGGACGAGTCCAGGGTATCAGCAGCATCCACCATGTCCTCGTCCATGAAGCTGGGGTACAGGAAGCTCCTCTTGCTCCTCTGCTTGGGAGCCAGTGGCTCCAGGACAGAGCGCCCCTTCGGCAGCACAAGCAATTGAAGGTGAGCAACCAGAAGCCCTCAGTTTTTGCAGCACTGAGGGTTTCTCAGATCTTCCCTCTCCAACGCCAAGTGGCAAAGATTAAATCCCAATCAGCCACCATACCCCCTTGTGTGGGGAGGAAACGGCAGAAGATGCTGCCTTTAGCCCCTCAGAATCCACACTGGACCATGGCCACGTTAGTCAGCATGACAAGTGACCTCTGAATTCATCTGGTCTCATACCCACAAACCCATCCCCAAGATTTGCCCTGGGCTCCTCAGAACCAAGAAAATTGCTGCAGAGGTTTCATTGCCCCTAAGCAACGGAACCCAAAAGTTGTTTCTTTCTCAGATTGCCCAATTTCCACCAAAACTTCTACTTTTAAGTAGCGCTCAGGTTTAAAAAACCAACCTCCCCCCTCAAACCCACCCTGGAGAGAGAGAGCAGTCTCCATGCACAGCAAACAGACAACAAAGACGATGGGTGAAGGACAGAACTGAAACCCAGCTTAGGAAGGTGATCCCCCCTCACACTCCCAGAACTCACACGCAGGAGGGCTGCGGCCGCCTTGAAGCTCATGTGGGCCACAGACTCCCTCTTCCTGCGCGGCAGGCGGCCGTAGCCCGAGCGGATGCTGTTGAAGGACGCCAAGGACACCACGCCGGGGGTGAGCGGGGGCAGCACGTGGTGGGGCGTGTGGGGACGGTCGGTGTCGTCGGGGTGGCGGAAGGGACGGCCCCTGGCCAGCGGGTCCACGATCTGCGGGAGGGAAGAGCTGTCAGCGCTGGGAGAGCAAGGCTGGCAGGGGGACCCCTCACCCCGAGCTCTACCTTGGGCATCTTGGCGGGCTTGGGTGACTCGGTGGCTTGGAAGGAGGGCACCTCCTGGCTGGGCAGCTCCATGTCGCGATAGGCGGGCTTCAGCTTGCCGTACCTCATGCTGCAGTGCTGCAGGCTCTTGCGCTGCCACTGCTGCCGCTTGCCCTCCCAGTCACCGCTGACACCGAACCACTGCGCCGTGCCCCTGCACACGGGGTGGGCACAGCTGTCACGCAGCTGGCCCCACACCACGCACCACCATTGCACCCAGCCATCCCCTCTGCAAGGTGTGCACATCTGTCACACAGCTGGCCCCACACCACCCACCACCATTGCACCCAGCCATCCCCTCTGCAGGGTAGGCACATCATGTACCACCATTGCACCCAGCCATCCCCTCTGCAAGGTGTGCACATCTGTCACACAGCTGGCCCCACACCATGAACCACCATTCCACCCAGCCATCCCCTCTGGCAGGCAGTTGGGCTTGGAGTGTCTCAGCCTGGCCCACAGCAGGGCAGTTCTGACCTGGCCATGGGTCAAAGGTGAGAGGAATAATAGATTTGTCTTTACAAACCAGTTGTGGGTCTGCTGGTGGATAAAACTAGCACTGGGAGATAAAAGAAACCATGGGTAGGATTCCACTGATTGATGAATGGAAAAAGATATTTGCTTTTACAAATAACCTTTAGGTTTGCTGATAAATAAAATTAGACACTGAGAGATGAAAGAAACAACGGGGAAGAAAAACCCCTAAATTCTGTAAGAATTAAAAATTAAAAGGGAGGGTTATGCATTAGAGGGGAATCTTCAGTATTAGGTGTTTTGGGAAGTCTGAACCTCTCAAGTACCTCAGAAATGGGGAAAGAGAGAAGGGAAATTGGGATAAAAAGGAGGCTGCGTCCTCCAAAAACTTGAGAGACCCCAGGGGAATGCCCCATGGCCTCTCCCTTTATTCAAATCAAGCCAGAAAGAACTCATCTGTCTCCTTTTTGGCCATAAACCTCTGGTGCTTGTGGATTAATTTTCTTAACAAAGGGATGTGGCGGAAAGCGATTCTTGCACTCCCTACTGAGACAAAACCCTCCAGCCCCACCCCAAATGCTCTGGCAGCACCCACAGTGTCCCCTGTGAGTGATCCAGCCCCGGCTGGAGCCCAGCCCGCGCTCACTTGCGGATGCTCTGCGACAGGGATGTCTGCCGGCGGAAGCCGGGCCGGCGCTCCGGGCGCGGCTCCTGCAGGCTCTTGCTCTTGCGGTACACGGGCACCTTGTGGGGCTGCAAGGCAGAGCAGGGGGGCATCAGGGACACGGTGGCACCTGGCAGCCCCCCAGGCCCGGCGTGGCATGGGCACAGCTGCAGCACTCACCTCCTTGCGGGCGCCATCCTCCTCGGTCTCGCGGGGCGGGATGACGATGGACAGGTTCGGGGGCTTCTTGCTCTGCAGGCGGCTGCTGCTGCTGGAGCGGCTGCCCCCGTTCTTGTCCCCGGCCGACATCTCCGGCTGGGGCTGGCTGGCAGGCTGGCAGAGTGCAGGGGGTCAGCACAGGGGGACAGGGATTCCCCCAGGAGCTTGTGTGTGAGGAAAGGCTCAGTGAGAGATGGGGCCTCGTCAGTGGGACGTCACCAGACTGAGCGCCCTGAGTGCTGTGCTGGTGAGACCTGGCCACCATGAACCCATCATGGACCCAAAACCCACATCCCAGCCCTGAGTTTGGGTGGGTAGCAAGGCTTGCATTAACCACTCACTGCCAGCCCCCCAGGAACCACCAACACCTGCTGGGAGCAGGGCAGGGATGACAGCAGTGACCAGGTCAGAGCATCCCCATCATCCCAGCACATCCCAGTGGGACACACAGGCTTCACACCCCGTCTGGACGGGCCTGACCATGTGCCTTGGAAACATGGGGGATCCCAGCAAGCCCTGCCAGGCCCGTGGCACACAGCTGCCGCACAGGGAACACCAGCACTCCCAGTTTGGCAAGGGAGCCAAGGGGACACAGCAGGGGATGCGTGCAAGGAGCTCCTCTTGCCTGGGCAGGGAGGGAAGGAAGGGGATGCACAAGGCCTGAAAACACCTGATCCACTTCCCCACATGCACCACAGCTCCCACGTGGACCTGTCACATGTTGGGGTGCCCCATGAAGGGGACATGCAGGACATTCCCCTCTGGCACGTGCATGCACACGCCAGGCTGGGACACTGAATCCTCCCTGGCACCATGTGCAAGGAGAGGGAAGCTTAACAGCCAAGACGTGGTTAATTCCTCAAGAAATCCCCTCCCAAGGGTCCCTGCAGCCAGCTCTACCAGGCAGGGCTTGCTTTGCAGGGAAAGTAATTCCATCAAAGTGCAAGAGAACAAGTCCCAGATCCTATTAGGGACTACAAGGGCAATCAAATGGGAGGCACAGTCCTCTCTGACCTCTTCTGCTTGCCCATGTGCCAGTGCCCAGGGACTCACACAGGTCTCACAAGCATCTCTTGTCCCCCAGGACAGCCATGGCCATGGGAATGGTGTCACTTGCCACGTTTGCACAGTGCCACTGGCTGCAAAATGCCAGCTTGATCCACAGGCCTGGCTCCTCTCCCTGCCCAAGATCCCAATGACCAGACTCCTCCAGCTCTGCTCCCCTTAGGCAACATCACTTGAGCAAGCAGATGAGTGACTGAGATCCCACCAACCCCTTCTGCAACAGGATCCATTGGCAGCCCATTCCCCCAGCAAGAGCCAGGGACAGGGACACTTTTGCAGCTCCCTTGGCATTTGGAGTCCTGAACACAACCCTGCCCTTAGCCCACACCACAAGTAAAGTCTGGCTTAAGCAGCATGGGCTGCCCGAGGCATCAGCTTCACGGGGATGCAGGAGTCCAGAACCAGCTCCCCAAGGAGGGGACAGCGTGGAGTGGGCAGCACTGGCAGGAATTGCTGCCTCCATCAGCCCCTGGGCCAGGTGATAATCTGCTCCTGCATTAAAATGGGTGCTGGGCTCCCTCTCCAGCACCAAAGCTGGGAGCAATCAACTCCCATATTTCTCCTGGGGGTTCAGCCAGTGCTGCTCCCCACGAGAGTCTCCTCACCTCATAAGAGTGACAGGGATCCTGTGCAGTGATGGCAAACACCCACAGCAGCCTTCCTCTGCCTCTGTCCTTCACGCGTGGGAGCCCAGGACACGGCCGAATTCCTCCTGGGGGGAGAAGCTGGGGTGAAAAACCACTCATGGGCAAGCAGGCAAGGGCTGCAGGAGCATCCTGGCAGAGGGAGAGCTGAGCTCAGTGCTGCCCAGACCCTGCGGACGGGGCTGCAGCTGGCTGCACACCAGGGACAGGGATCAGCCACTGGCACAGCAGGAGGAGGAGGAGAAGCCCCCATTTACAGCAGTGCTCCATGGCAGGGAATGGCATGGGGCAGGCAGGGAGTTTTGGAGTTTTCCCCTGCTGCTGCTTTCCTGTCTCTGGGGAAGCAAGACACCCAGGAAGGGCAGGCAGGGACTGTGAGTGCCTCACTGGGTATTTCATAGCTGCTGAACTGGGAGAGTGCCAGCCCCAGCAAGTAAAACTTTCCATCCCATTGGTGAGCTGGAGGCTCTGTTTGTTTTCCTCCCAGGGCAGCCAGCAGTGAGCCCGAGATGGCAGCTGCTCTGGAGAGCTGGGAATGGGAATACACTGGGCTCAGAGCAACCCCTGGGGCACCCTCATCCTCCTCCAGCTCTGGGGAATGGCTCTGAGTGGTAAGAAGCACAGAAATTGGAGCCAAATTCTTACACTCCCATCCCAAAATCCCATCTTCAGTTGCTCCCGTTGTAGGAGCATTGGGGGGTAGGATGGTGGGGATGGATGGAGACGAGAGGTCTCTGCAGCCAGGGCTGGAACTTGGGGTTCATTGCAAAGGGCCTGGGTGCAGGGCCCTGCTGGGAGCTGCCAAACACAGCTCAGGACAGGCTGAGAGAAGAGAGGGGGAGAGAGGATGAGAGGGTAAGAGGGTAATAGGGTAAGAGAGCAAAAGCATAAGAGTAAAAGGGTAAGAGAATAAACAGGGTAAGAGAGTGAGGTTCCCATTACAATACAATCAATCTTCTTCTGTGCTGAATATTCTAATTCTCACAAACCAATCTAGTACAATACACAAATCCTATAGCATTTACATACAGCCTATAAGAATCATTACATTACCATACTGTGTTACATTTTAAACCCTAAAAACTCCTCTTGGGGCCCCTTCTGCCAAGCTGTAGGGTCTGCTCTGACCCTTGGGCCTGTCTGCAAGCAGAGGGTGTTGTTCCATCAAAAGGGGATTACCTTCAGCTGGCCACACCATTGTTTTCCAGTTGTTCAGTAACTGAGGTATCTCAAAGCTTGCTTTCATTTCAATCTCACTCTCACTTTCCATATTCTCAAAATCTTTTGCCAGGCAATGATATTTATAAGGCTTTCCTGTTTCATCTCCCCCAACACCCATCACACCCCGGACAGCCCCAGATCTCTGTGCTTCCCAGCAAAGCAGGCTTGCAGCATGTCTAAAATCCCGGCCTGGCTTCCCCCCAGCTCCCCAGGCAGAGGGTGGAGGGCTGGGCTGGCCTCTCCCGAGGTGACTCAGGCCAGGGGAGCTGGCACAGCCTGCCTGGCACCTGCTGTCCCGTCACGGTCACGCGGCCGCAGCGCCGGTCACGGCTCCGTGCCCTGGCACTCCTGGCATTGAGAGGGAGGGGCAGGAGGGCAGCGGCCCCCAAGGGCTCAAGGCTGCTTTGCCACACAGCAGCCACCCCCTGAGCACAGATCCTGAGCCACAAGAGCCTTACCCCGTGCCAGGCAGAGAAATCCCCAGGGGACGGTGCTGGGAAGGAGTTTACCAGCTCACCACGTGCCTGGTGCTGGTGCCCAAGGCCTCTGGAGCTGGCATGCTCAGTGTGGGAATGGGCCAGGCAGTGCCTCCATCCACAGACAGCCTGCCCCAGGCTGGGCCCTCCAGATCCCCTGGGGTCCCCAAGCTTGTCCCTCCAGGTCCCCCAGGGTCCCAGGTCTCCAAGCTTGCCCCTCCAGGTCCCCTGAGGTCCCAGGTCCCCAGGCTTGTCCCTCCAGGTCCCCTGAGGTCCCAGGTCTCCAAGCTTGTCCCTCCAGGTCCCCTGGGCTCCCAGGTCTCTGTCACCCCCCAGTCCCATGGTGGGCTCTGCCATCAGGAGCACGGCTCCCTGCCCGGCAGCCCTGGCATCAGCCACCCCATCACAGGGCACAGCTCAGCTGTGGGTGCCCAGGGAGCCTCAGCCCAGCCCTTGGACACTCAGGGTGCACGTGGTGGCTTTGTCCTGGGACAGAAGAAGGAAGTGAGAGGCGACGTGCGGAGCTGGCACAGGGGATGGCTGAGCATGGCCCTGCTCTGGGGACAAGGCAGGTCACAGCATGTCCTGAGCTTGGTAGGAGCTGTGCTTTGGGCTGGAAGAAGGGTCCTGGGGCAGCACATTGTCACTTTAGGCTGGAAAAAATCTCCATGCACTGGGGCTGCTGCCATTGTTGGAGTGATAAATGGGCAGGGCATGGAGGGAGGAACACCAGGTCTGGTTGGTGAGAAGAGATCCCTCACTGTCACCATCTCCCCTCCCAAAGCTCTTGACCACTAAAAGTCACCAAAGCCTGACATCCAGCAGTGAGGGACACAGCCTGTGTGAGGGTCCCACCCCTTCCCAAGAGGGCAGATGTGCTGGCATCACTGGGGATGAGCTTTCAACCAAAAAAGGCACAAGGAGGGTGACCAGGGCTGGCTCCCAGCCTCAGGGTGAATCACAACAAGCACTGACCAGAGGAAGCACAGCAAGGAAGAAAGTGATGGGAAAAATTGTGTGGTTCAAACAAAGCGTCAGGCAGGACATGCTGGGATGGTCCAAGCAACACAAAAGGAGCATCAGCAAGGCCAGGTGAGCAGAGCTGGGACAGCCAAGCACAGCCAAGGCACAAGACAGCAGAGACAACCCTGCAGAGCAGCCCTGGCTGGAGTTCTGCTGCCATTGATAAAGCACTCCCCTCCCAAAAAGATGATTACACACATGCTTGGGCACACAAAGACATTTACTCATATTTCTTCTCCCAGATACAAAAAGAGAGAGAGACTGAAATCTGTATGCATGCAAATATCAAGGAAAAGATAATAAAAAGCCAGAAGGTCCTCACAGTCAGAATTCATGTATGTATGGAAAAGTATGCTAAGTTGTTCTTATACATCACATTTGTAAGGTTTCATCTTCTCCAGACTACTGATATTCTGGTTAATAACACCCTAAATTTCCAGATCTTTCCAAGTGTGGAATATGGATGCTTGGAGAAGGACCAGGATCTCTCTCCCTGCCTCTGTTGGCACTGAGGGAAGGGACATTCCTGCAATAACACTGTCTGCATCCGCTGCAGCTCACCTGGAGGACAAAGCAGCTGTGAGGCACCCAAGGGTGTGGGGCAGGGACCCCATCATCACCCTGAGCATGAGGAGCCCCAGCTCTTCCTCTGCACAGGGCA